AAAAAAAAAAAAAAAAAAAAAAAAAAATATATATCTATCTATCTATATACTGTATACAGTATATAGATAGATAGATAGATAGATGATAGATAGATAGATGGATGGATGGATGGATGGATGGATGGATGGATGGATGGATGGATGGATGGATGGATGGTTGGATGGATGGATGGATGGATGCATCTCAAGCAATGAGTCGAGCTACAGGCAGGAGGTGGAACACCTGGAGAGCTGGTGCAGGAAGAACAACTTTCACATCAATGTGAAGAAGACCAAGGAGATGGTCATGGACTTCAGACGGAGCAAATACACCTAACCCCCCCACCCCCACCCCCACCACCCACCCCCCGAACATAGGAGGATCTGCAGTGGAAGTGGTTTTTAGCTACAAGTACTTGGGTGTGCACCTGAACGACAACCTCACCTGGGGCAACAACACTTCCAGCCTGGTCAAGAAAGCTAATCAGAGACACTACTTCCTCAGGTGGCTGAAGTGAGCTGGACTTGGAAGCTCAGTCCTCACCTCCTTCTACAGGTGTGCAGTGGAGAGCATCCTGTGCTCCAGCATCAACATGTGGCATGGAGGCTGCACAGTTGCAGAAAAGAGAGCTCTGCAGAGAGTGGTGAAGACTGCACAGAAGACTGTTGGAGTCAGCCTCCCCACCATCGCAGACATACACCTCCAGGAAGATGGCCACCAGCATCATGAAGGACCCCACTCACCCAGCACGCTCACTTTTTGCCCTGCTCCCCTTAGGCAGAAGGTTGATGAGCATTAAGTGTAGAACCACTAAACTGAGGAACACCTTCTACCCTGAGGCTGTTAGACTCATAAATCCCTAACCAGAAAAATCACTATAATGGCTCTTTAATTGATGATATGTGACATATTTGAGCTGCTGATTATCCATGCTGCTGATTTCATGCTCTTGACTATCTCATGCTGCTTCATATCCATCTACTCACTAGAGACTCATGTTCAGGCTGCTGCTTAATACACCGTATTATTTACATTATTATGTATTTAGCGTATATCTTAGATCTTTTAGTGTACTGTTCAATGTTTGTTTAACTATATTGTTATTAGCTATATGTATGCATGTACTGTATGTATGTACTTTGAATGTATGTGTGTATGTGTGTATGTATGTATGCATGTATGCATGTATGTACTTTTATTACAACGGTTTTGCTATTTACTGTGTAGTCACCGCTTCCTTTCAGTGCGCATGCGCAGCGCACCGACCTGGCAACAAGATGCGATGAAATGGCTACAACGCTGGTGTTTTAATTCTTCTAGTAACCCAGAGTCAAATGAACAAAGCACGTCAAACATTTCACAGTCAATATACGCAAATTATAACCGGCTCTCTTCGTTGTCATTATGCCGGTAAGTCGCCACGCATGTATTTGTTTTTGTTCTTGTAAGGGGTTCCTCCCTTGGGTGGATGTGATGCTAACCGGGTTAGCACTGCTAGCCTCTTACGGTTTTCGATGCTGAGGGGTGAAAGGGGACTGTTGTCGTTTTAAAACCTGGCTTTTTTCTTTACCATGATTAAACTTTGACCCCTGTTGTTTGGATCATGAATAGTATCGTTAGTGTAATCGCTGCCCTGCTTAACAACACAGCAAATAACGTAATGGAGAATCTCAAGTATGCAGTGGCGACGTTTGTCTCATTTGTTTACTGTCTGGAGGGACAACAGATGAAAACTAGCGCAAGGCTAAATCTGGTGCAATGCATCAAATGTTCTTACAATTATGTTGCACAGTGTCCCGAGTAAACAAAGTAGATTGAGCTGAATTTATATCTTAGCTTTTCCCGTTTACTGTCTGTCAGCTACACCCTAAACGTCCATCCACCTTTATCTCACATTCTAATAATATGTGCGACTTCTTTCTCGTTTCAGAGCAGTAAGCCTGACAAACAGGAGGTCAGCGATAATGTCAAAGTGGTGGTGCGATGTCGTCCCCTCAACCAGAAAGAAAAGATGATGGGCCACAAGCAGTCCGTCATTGTGGACGAGATCCGTGGGACCATAACTGTGAACAAACTGGAGACCTCTCAGGAGCCTCCTAAAACCTTCACTTTTGACACTGTGTTTGGACCTGACAGCAAACAGCTGGACGTCTACAATCTCACAGCCCGCCCGATCATTGACTCTGTTTTAGAGGGATATAATGGTAAAGTTCATGTGATTAAGCCACACATTGCTGTGCAATATGCACATTTTGCACTCATATCTAATGTATTGTTCATCTTTGTTTTTTGTGATCTATTTTATTAGTGATTTTGTTTTCTGTTACCTATTTCAGGCACAATTTTTGCATATGGACAAACTGGCACGGGAAAAACATTCACCATGGAGGGTGTGAGAGCAGTGCCAGAACTCAGAGGAATAATCCCAAATTCTTTCGCTCATATTTTTGGTCATATTGCCAAGGCAGAGGGGGATACCAGGTATAATATCAACACCTACACAAATACTGGATTACTGATGTGATTAGGCCTGTCACAATAACACATTTTGCTGGGCAATTAATTGTCTCAGAAATGATTGTGATAAACGATAATATTGTTTGAAATTTGACAAAAATTAGTAATTATTATCAAATTTAGGAAGAAATGTTAAATTTCCTGATGCATGCTCAATAATCCAGGTAGAAAAATCCAAAAAAGTTCAATCTGGTCCTCTGGACATTCAAAAAAAACAAAAAACAAAACAAAGCAAAAAATATATAGAAACGTTTCGTCTCTCATCCAAGAGACTTCCTCAGTCTGAGGTGCTGTTTTCAGCTCAGTCTCTTAAATAGCACCTTCTCAGAGTGGAACACCACATACAGAACACCATGGACTTTGTGGATAAGGTGAGGGATGTCATCATGGAGACTAATGAAACAATGGTCTCTTTTGATGTCACATCACTCTTTACGTGCATTCCTGTTGATGATGCAGTAGAGGTGGTCAGTTTAAGATTAAAATCAGACACCACTCTGAGCAGCAGGACCACACTTTCCACAGAACAACTGTGTCAACTCTTGAAACTGTGCCTGCAGTCAACCTACTTCACATATGGGGAGCAATATTATAGGCAGAAACATGGGTGTGCTATGGGGTCTCCAGTTTCTCCTATTGTTGCCAACCTGTACATGGAGGAGGTAGAAAAGAGAGCCTTGACGTCCTTTTCAGGGACACCACCAAGTCAATGGTTCAGGTATGTTGACGACACCTGGGTTAAAATTAAATCTCATGAAGTCCAACATTTTACTGACCACATCAACTCTGTGGATAAATACATCAAGTTCACACGAGAAGATG